GAGAGGTCAGAGGCGACTAAATTTAGAACATCATGGTAGCGAAAGAGAGGTCAGAGGCGACTAAATTTAGAACATAATGGTAGCGAAAGAGAGGTCAGAGGCGACTAAATTTAGAACATCATGGTAGCAAAAGAGAGGTCAGAGGCGACTAAATTTAGAACATAATGGTAGCGAAAGAGAGGTCAGAGGCGACTAAATTTAGAACAAAATGGTAGCGACAGAAATGTCAGAGGCGACTAAATTTAGAACAAAATGGTAGCGACAGAAATGTCAGAGGCGACTAAATTTAGAACATAATGGTAGCGAAAGAGAGGTCAGAGGCAACTAAATTTAGAACATCATGGTAGCGAAAGAGAAGTCAGAGGCGACTAAATTTAGAACATCATGGTAGCGAAAGAGTGGTCAGAGGCGACTAAATTTAGAACATAATGGTAGCGAAAGAGAGGTCAGAGGCGACTAAATTTAGAACAAAATGGTAGCGAAAGAGAGGTCAGAGGCGACTAAATTTAGAACATCATGGTAGCGAAAGAGAGGTCAGAGGCGACTAAATTTAGAACATAATGGTAGCGAAAGAGAGGTCAGAGGCGACTAAATTTAGAACAAAATGGTAGCGACAGAAATGTCAGAGGCGACTAAATTAAGAACATAATGGTAGCGACAGAAATGTCAGAGGCGACTAAATTTTGAACAAAATGGTAGCGACAGAAATGTCAGAGGCGACTAAATTTAGAACAAAATGGTAGCGAAAGAGAGGTCAGAGGCGACTAAATTTAGAACATCATGGTAGCGAAAGAGAGGTCAGAGGCGACTAAATTTAGAACATCATGGTAGCGAAAGAGAGGTCAGAGGCGACTAAATTTAGAACAAAATGGTAGCGAAAGAGAGGTCAGAGGCGACTAAATTTAGAACAAAATGGTAGCGAAAGAGAGGTCAGAGGCGACTAAATTTAGAACAAAATGGTAGCGACAGAAATGTCAGAGGCGACTAAATTAAGAACATAATGGTAGCGACAGAAATGTCAGAGGCGACTAAATTTTGAACAAAATGGTAGCGACAGAAATGTCAGAGGCGACTAAATTTAGAACAAAATGGTAGCGACAGAAATGTCAGAGGCGACTAAATTTAGAACAAAATGGTAGCGAAAGAGAGGTCAGAGGCGACTAAATTTAGAACAAAATGGTAGCGAAAGAGAGGTCAGAGGCGACTAAATTTAGAACAAAATGGTAGCGACAGAAATGTCAGAGGCGACTAAATTTAGAACAAAATGGTAGCGACAGAAATGTCAGAGGCGACTAAATTAAGAACATAATGGTAGCGACAGAAATGTCAGAGGCGACTAAATTTAGAACAAAATGGTAGCGACAGAAATGTCAGGCGACTAAATTTAGAACAAAATGGTAGCGACAGAAATGTCAGAGGCGACTAAATTTAGAACAAAATGGTAGCGAAAGAGAGGTCAGAGGCGACTAAATTTAGAACAAAATGGTAGCGAAAGAGAGGTCAGAGGCGACTAAATTTAGAACATAATGGTAGCGAAAGAGAGGTCAGAGGCGACTAAATTTAGAACAGAAATGGTAGAACAAAAGCGACAGAAATGTCAGAGGCGACTAAATTTAGAACAAAATGGTAGCGAAAGAGAGGTCAGAGGCGACTAAATTTAGAACAAAATGGTAGCGAAAGAGAGGTCAGAGGCGACTAAATTTAGAACAAAATGGTAGCGAAAGAGAGGTCAGAGGCGACTAAATTTAGAACAAAATGGTAGCGACAGAAATGTCAGAGGCGACTAAATTTTGAACAAAATGGTAGCGAAAGAGAGGTCAGAGGCGACTAAATTTAGAACAAAATGGTAGCGAAAGAGAGGTCAGAGGCGACTAAATTTAGAACATAATGGTAGCGAAAGAGAGGTCAGAGGCGACTAAATTTAGAACATAATGGTAGCGACAGAAATGTCAGAGGCGACTAAATTTTGAACAAAATGGTAGCGAAAGAGAGGTCAGAGGCGACTAAATTTAGAACAAAATGGTAGCGAAAGAGAGGTCAGAGGCGACTAAATTTAGAACAAAATGGTAGCGAAAGAGAGGTCAGAGGCGACTAAATTTAGAACAAAATGGTAGCGACAGAAATGTCAGAGGCGACTAAATTTAGTACAAAATGGTAGCGAAAGAGAGGTCAGAGGCGACTAAATTTAGAACAAAATGGTAGCGACAGAAATGTCAGAGGCGACTAAATTTTGAACAAAATGGTAGCGAAAGAGAGGTCAGAGGCGACTAAATTTAGAACATCATGGTAGCGAAAGAGAGGTCAGAGACGACTAAATTTAGAACAAAATGGTAGCGACAGAAATGTCAGAGGCGACTAAATTTAGTACAAAATGGTAGCGACAGAAATGTCAGAGGCGACTAAATTTTGAACAAAATGGTAGCGAAAGAGAGGTCAGAGGCGACTAAATTTAGAACATCATGTAGCGAAAGAGAGGTCATAGACGACTAAATTTAGAACATAATGGTAGCGACTACTCCATGCTTATCGTCAGCATTTTAGTAGTAACGTCTGGTTCACTGCCGTGATCGTGCGATGGCGGACCAACGTAACACCGGAAGGTAAGCTCTGCTTTCAAACGGTAATATCCATAATTTATATACTCACTATGATCATAAAACACATATTTTATCTGATTCGCAAACAGTGCTAATATTGTTGTGCGTATCTATTTGGATGATAATAAACTTAAAATGTAATGCAATCTGCGTGTAGACTTTGTCAACATGCCGATGTGTTAGATCCAAGAGGATGTGAGCTTAACTTTTGGCCTTAGCTAAACAAATTAAATACATCCAGTCATAGTTTTATTGTTAAATTGAAGATAGGATAAGCCTCTAATCGAATGACAATCTTCTGTGACGGAAACGGAAGTGTGATTGGAGAGAAAAAAACAGGAAATTTTGACCATGCGATGGCACGATCTCGGTACATTTTGAGATGTTTCGCTAAGGATCGGTCATACCATTTTGTTAAGGACGAGTCTTGTGCGTGACGTAGGCTATAGAGTGTATATAATTTATTTCCATTTACACTGTACTTTAATCTGCATTTCGGATGAACTACATACATTCCACGCACAGGGTGATTTACTTGTACACCAACACATAATTGCAGGGAAACACTCGTTAGGAATACAAGATAGCGAAATTCGGCAGTAAAATCGGTAAAATCCAGTACAGCCGGGACGCATTCCGTTAGAAACTGGACGCCATCACTCAGATCAGCATCTGTTGTAGAGTCAAAACTACTTTGTTGGGTTTCGGGTGTTTCAGTTTTCCATTTCTTTGCAAACAGACTCTTAACATCGATTGACAAATCCTGCAGAGACTTGTCTAGTATTTCCATTTCGTCGTGCTTGTCTTCATTCAAATCATCATCCGACTCTGATTCGAAGTATATATCGCCAGTAGCTTCGTCAACTGCGATTCTCCCACCCAATTGTCCGGGTATCAACTGCACATCCTTGATTTGGTAACCGAATTTTCCAATGTGTGAATTAAATTCGAATGATCTGAATTTCAGTGGCAATCCACTGTGCTTTTCACAAGAATGTTCTATCACTTCTGACTTTTCAAAAGTAGTGTATTCACAGTAGTAACATCTGAATCTGAAAAAAAATAAATGAATACAGAATACCTCATTACGTGTAACAACTGGAGGGCAAGACAAGAGACAATGTCTGAAACATCGACAACATAAGGGAACTTGTGGGACACAAATAATAGGACAAAAAGAACCTGTCGGGAAGCACAGGGAAGAAAAAGCAGAAACACGGGCATCGGAGAGAGCAAAGAACAGGACTGCAAGGTTAGAACGTGTTCCTTCCGTCTTATCCCTCACCATCTGCTTTCTAGCTTGGATGGCCCTTCCAGGAACTGCAAGCATAGCCATCAGGATTATTGGAATACACAATCCACCACAGGGAGGTAGCGACACCGGGAGAGGAAAGTTGAAATCGGGCGTTGGATGACTATGATTCAGACTAATCCTTAACCAAAACGTCTGACCGGTCCGTAACAAAACCATCACAAAATGCATCGATCCTTAGCAACATGATCACAAAATGACCGAGACCGAGCCTTCGCATGGTCAAAATGTCCTTGTTTTCTTCAATCACGCTTCCGATTCCGTCACAGATGATTGTCATTCGATTACAGGCTTGTCAAATATTCAGTTTGAAATAAAAACAGTGACAATTTATTCAATTGTTTTAGCTAGTGCTGATAGTTGAGCTCACATCCGTTTGGATCCAACAGATCGGCATGTTGACGAGGTTTACACGCAGATTGCATTACATTTTAAGTCTATCATCATCCAGATATATACGTTCAACAATATTAGCACTATTTGCAAATCAGATACAATATGTATCGTGATCATAGTGAATATATAAATTTTGGATATTACCGTTTGAAAGCAGAACTTACCTTCCGGTGTTACGTTGGTCCGCCATCTTGAAAAGTCCTACCCATCGAACGATCTCGACAGTGTGGTGTGCCCATTATTAGTTTAATGATGTGGTATCCTATACGACGCCTTCGGGATAATCTTTCAGCTATCGCACTCGCTTTGCATTCAATTACATTTACTGTTCATAGGATGTTAACAATGTAAAAACATCTATTCAGAATTCTCTTACTCACAAATGTGGTAAAGTTAGGTTAAGATCCTGGTGATGCAACACCTTCAACGTCAATATCTGCCTCAAAACACCAATTATAACTATTCACGGTGGAAAACACACCTAGTGACTATTCTCTTTATGACTGGTCAGTAGTTTTTAAAATTTAATGCGAAGCTGGTGTTTGGGACTATTAAAACTGGTCTTAATAGGGAGGTGCTTTTAATTTTATGGTGGGCTTCGCTGTACATGTTCTGTGACAATTTTGTACGGAAGAATTTAATATTTACCGTTTTCTGTATCTATTGATACCATAGTAACGGTTTCGTCATCTTGCCTAGCGACGGGCAACCGCAGCAAGTGTAGATGGATTAACTAGATTAATGCCGGTTATGAGGAAAGGAAACACTGCAGCCAGGACGCCGACTGAAAACAGACACCAATAGAAATTAGTCTAACAGATACATTTGGTTTTATAACATACTTTCTGACGTCCGTCACACTTGTACGTTCTTCACACTAATTTGATCTGTTGTTTATTATACTTGTTCTGTCATCCGTCACTATTACCTTTTCTGTCATATTTCAAATTTTACCCGTCAGTCGTCCGTCACATTTACCGGTCGGTTGGCCATCACACGTACGTACTTTTTATATCGTCCGTTACAATTATATGTTTTGTCGTCCGTCCCACTTACATGTTGTCTGTCACAAAAACATGTTACCGTCCGTCTGTTGTCCGCCACATTTACCTATACTGCCGTTTGTTACTTACCTGTCTTATTGTCCGTGACACGTCTGTTTTGTTCCGTTATGTATACATGTTCCGTTGTCCGAACTACTTACCTGTACTGTCCGCCGTCCGATTTACTTGTAATGTCTTCATACTCACCTATTCTATCTCCCTTCGATATGTCTATTTCATCTGTAAAAAGTATACATATATATAAAGCAGTTAACAAAACTTTATTTATTTACTTTCGAATATACCTTCATCATCATGACACCATTGCATCATCATAGTCATCACTTAATCATTATCATAAAGACAAAATTTGTCATCATCTTTATCATCGTCATCACAATTCTAGTCCATCTCCATCATCGATACACTATTCTTCAAATCTGCAGTTATGAGTTTTTTTAAATACGTAATATACATATTTGAACACATTTACACTTGTAACATTTTTGACAGCATTCTAATTTCTATAATATATTGCTATGTTAAAATGTATTAAATATTGTATAATAAATTGCTTTATTACTTTTTTATTTTAGTTCTCAAAGTTTTATTTAACAATATATATATATATATTTTTAAATATTTCATCAGCAGAAAGGACTTTTATAGTTGGTATTTTACTATATTTCTGGCATTCCAAGTAGTATATTGAATACGTTGTTCTGTGAGTGTACAAAATATATAAATATTTCCCGTCATTTCTAAACATACCTAGACATTTATGTTTCGATGGCGGTTAATCAGAAAAGCTATGCTCAATACAAGCTTTAAGCTTATATTCTTATTGTGACAGAGAAACCTGTATACACGGCGAAAACCCATGTGGTCAGGAAGACACCCCCACCCCCATACCTTTCCACGTCCGTGCCTGGAATCTAAACCCGGAAGCCCAGGTGAAAGGCGAAAGTGTTACTACCAGACCACCCAATACCGCTTATATATCGCTTAAATGACGTGTTTTGAGAATCCATACAAAATACACTGTGACTTCATTATCCAATTAGATAACACAAAAAGGGTTTGAATGACGCGCAAAAGGTAATTGTCTACGTATTTGTATTATTCTGGTGTGGATATTTACCGCCCATGAGCATAACATAGTAAAGAGAAATAGTATTCTGAGATCATCTGGCCCAAAGGGTTAAGATGACCGATAGCCATCGTGTTTCGCCCGTTGTCATGCGTAAACTTTTCCTTTAAAACCCTACTCTTTCATACCTGGATGGATTAAGATTTAGGTTTAGATGACGGTGTCGTCAATGACGCAGAAGACGCTTATTCTGGTACTTTTTCAGGAGTCTCTGTGTAGATCTTTTTGGTTTCATATTTTGACCTAGCTTTATGGAATGTGAGTTTATGGATTGAGATTATGGTGCCGTTTTGGTATTTTCTTGATGTTTTCTTTAGACATTGCTATCTCCCGCAAGACATAGATATCCACATCATAAGCTGTCAGATAGTGCCTTCTTCAGAATGATCTTTACCTGTAGTTGAATCACAGATAAACGTCCCTCTTGCTGTAAAGCCCTCAATACAGGCACAAACGCCCAGTACACATTCCGAGTTAAACACGCTGCATTCGCCTAGGTTGCATGGTTGGTTGATGACTGGGCCTGTTTACAGTAATAAAATGACTTGTACACAAGACGCTCACATCGCACATTTATTTAGGTCTCCGCAGCTAGAATATAACAATTTTATCCGTTTTCCTTTTGAAGCTAACATGTTCGAAGCAAAAGTGAGCTTATCACGTGGCAAGGTATCCGTCTTCTCTCTGTCGTTAATTATTTTCAATTTCTCAATAATCGAAGGCAGAAGATACTGACATTGGTTTTGTAACATACAGAAAAAGGACCACAAAATCAGTTAAAAAGGAAAGTGATCCTCTCTCAAGGTCACAAGGGCCAAATATGTCAACTTATTCTCAGTAAAGAAAAGGCACAGTATGTTTAATAGGTCTATAGCTTGACTGGATAAGAAATACAATTCATGCAAACGACATTTCATCATTCAAGAGGTGCAGAGTACTGTAATTATGTCAGTATCATTATAGTATGAAGTGTTACCAAGAATTTTCAAATGAATTACCTTGACCAACCCCAAGGTTAAAATCTTCAAATGTCCACTTTATAACCATAAATCCAGAGTTATGATAATTGTTCAGTAGAAAGAATGCTGGGATGAAGGGCTACCAAGTTTCTTCAAGTTCAGATGGGTCAAATTCAAATCCGTTAATATCTCCAAAAGACTTCTCATTGACAGTAATAAGGATGGTACTTAAACGCTTCCGCTAGACTATCCAGCTATAAAACGTTTTGCATATGGACTTCTGTGAAATTTGGGAATCCAATATAAAATAAAACTGTTGCCAGGATAGCTAATACCCTTGCCCCCCCCCTTCACCACGATTTTCCCCCCATTTTCCAAAAATAATCTGTATATAATGTGTAAAATCGAATGTGCAGAAAATAAACAGAATTTGAAATTGCAAGAACTGTACTGACAAGAAGAAGGGACATAACTCGGATTAAAATATGCAAGTTAAAAGTGCGCAGTCTCTTTGTGTGGCTACCATATAACTACTTTTTCACTAACGTCAGGTCTGGACATTTTGTAGTTTTAGTATATAATCACATTCAAACGGACATGACTGCAATAAAAAGACAGATGAAAAAATCTGATGACTACATTCAAAAAGTTTTGAAAAAACTGTAAGGCGTCCGGATATGATCCCGTTAACGGTCGGACGGACAGACAATTAGGGCACTGTACATTCCTAACCTTCGTTGCGCGTTTTTAACGAGAAAGTACAGGAATCGTTTCATTAAGTGCCAATAGGAAGTATAGCTATGAGGCGTCTACGAAAACATTAAATTGTCACCACCCCCATCTCTCTCGTCTTCTAAAATATGATAAAAAATCTGGCGTCTCTTACAACATGCAATAAAGTAAAATTGGCATATTCCTTCTCTGTTTCCTACACGGGTACATGTTATCAAATCGATGTAGCCAACATTTCACAACCCCATATAAGAATTTTCTCCTATGATGTTGTGATAATGTCGTTTTTTGTATCTGGGTGATCTGTCCTATTCGCTGATATATTTTACTTTTCCTGTTGACACGCGTATGACGAACAACACATCAGATGCGGTCGCGAATGATATTTATCAAACATCACAATGCTCTTAACGATATTGGTAATCAGTATGTTACAATATACCTACCAGTTACACAAACACCGTTCACATTCTGAAGGCGTTGATTACACTTGCATGTTTGCTGCACACATATAGTGTTTGCAGCTTTATCACAAACTGTGTCCCTTCCACACCTGCCACCGATATCACCTGGCAAAAACACAATAACAGATTTAAAAATACACCTTCCTGTGTAATCGACGGTTTATGGCCGTATTTTGCGATTTGTAAACAAAATTTATGTCGATAATTCACACAAACTTTTATCGATGCAAGTGTTCTTTTATTTTGTCAATGCCACAAATTCAGAGGACTGATGGTGAATCAAACAGTTGACTTACAGTTATACGGTCTATCGGAATGGTCACACTTTGTATATTACATCAAGACTGGCTTAAAAACGCTACACATTAGAAATGGAAAAATATGACTGAGTATTTAAACAGAATATCACGGTTATTCAAATAGTATTAGGAATGACAGTAGGACGTATGAACGATAGCTGGACTTCGTGCAAAAAATGAATTATTCCTTACATATACGAGAGAAGTGTTGTTATACCTGGACAGAATAATCGAAGTGTTGCATTTTCCACGACGTTGTCCCTAAATTGGTTGAAACTAACCATCATGAGTGCGCGTCGGTATTTATCAACAGGAGGATAACGTACAATAGTACTTATAGCTCGGTCTAAATTGCTAAAAATATCTCCTATACCAATAGCAAACATAGTGATGTCAGCATTTGCTTGACTAGCGGTCCTTAAAGCATTATTGTTTGCAAGTGTTGCGCTCAAAACGAGTCCATATCTGGCGGCGTTTTGTCTTTGATTATTATCCAACTGGGTCCTAATTGCATCGAGACCTGAAAAAAAAGTGAGAAGAAAATATTGATGTTTAATTAAAACATCTATTTTGTTTACAGTGTGCAAAAGTAACTTTAAAATAATGATTGCTATAAAGGATCTTGCACGAGTTATGCTTTCATAAGAAGCTCGTCAAGAAGTTTTCATTAGCCTGATTCATAAAATCTCATCTGGAAAGAAAACACATTTAATATACTTTCTATCACATAAATAATATTACGATTTCTGTCTATGTACCTCGCCCTTAACTGTATTTAAAGAAAGTAATGAGAGCTGTTATCCATCCAGACTCTCTCTCTGTTCTACAAAGTCTTTGCAGAGTTATGCGTAAATATGTACATGTACATGAAACAGACTATAGGTGGTACTTGTAAGCGCTATGCTGATACAGACTATAACCAGCCTCGCTCGGGGGTTCCAGAGAAAATGGCTTCGATGTAAACACGCCGCATTTTGTTAATACAGTTTACAAACGAAGATCCAAGTGTTTGTCAAGTGTCAACCCACATAACATGGTGTCAGAATGTGGAAATCATCAGTCGAGCGGTAAGAGGTTACCATCGCAGTGAAGTCATGCGATATAGACAGTTTTAATGTGACTTTCACGCAGTACTCAGCGGCAGTATCTCGCACACGTGGTTTGGCTCATGTATTCTCAGGTCTATCAGTCGGAGGTGGCGACTACGATTTGAACTTTGATGTGGTATGATTGAATACTGTAATTTCTGAAAATAAGATATCAGCAAGTATTAATCAGCATTTCGTTGAGATGGCCACGTATCAGGTACAACCCCCAGAAAATTTTACGTTCACTAAACCCGAGGAATGGCCCAAATGGCTGAAAAGGTTCGAACGGTTTCGAGTAGCGGCAGGGTTAGGAGCCAAAGAGGGCCCAATCCAGGTCAACACATTTATATACTCGATGGGAGGTCAGGCTGAAGATATTATCAAGTCGTTTGGTCTGTCTGATGATGACGCGAAAGATTACGGGAAGGTTGTAGAAAAGTTCGACAATTACTTCATAACCAGACGAAATACTATATTTGAGAGAGCTAGGTTCAACCACAGAAGACAAAACGAGGGCGAGTCTGCAGAAAGCTTTATTATGGCACTGTATGCATTAGTAGAGCACTGTGAGTATGGAGATTTGAAGTCAGAGATGATAAGAGACCGTATCGTTGTAGGCATTCGCGATAGTCGGTTATCAGAGAAACTACAGCTTGACGCAACACTTACTCTGGAGAAGGCCGTAAACCAGGTACGACAGGCAGAGGCGGTCAAGAAACAACAGGCAGTTGTAAGAGACAAAGACCCTATTGCAAGTAGTAGTCAGGCAAATAACAGTGTGGATGCGGTGTTCCGGAAAGGCAATAAACACAAATTCTCAGGAAACCGGAAGTCGTCAGAAAACCGGAAGTCGTCAGAAAACCGGAAGTCCACAGAAAACCGGAAGTCATCTGATACTCAGTCAAATCCAGAATGTCATAAATGTGGATTTAGACACAGGAAAGGGAGCTGTCCAGCGAAAGATGCAGAGTGTCGGAAATGTAAGAAAAAAGGTCATTATGCGAAGAAATGTCGTTCGACAGTCGGTGAATTGCAAACCTTTTTAGGAGCAGTAGAGAGTGAAGGAGCCTTACCATGGACCATAGATCTAGTGGTTCAGACAGGTCAAAAGGATACACCAGTACGGTTCAAGATTGATACAGGGGCAGATGTTACAGCTATACCCGAGAGTGTCTTTCAACGAATCGGTCAGAAGTTGGAACACTCAACAAGAATTCTACAAGGTCCAGGTCAGAACCGTCTCAAAGTGTTGGGAAAATTTTCAAGTACATTATCTACTGAGAAAGGAACTCAGGCGGAGACAGATATTTATGTCATCAAGACATTGAGTAAGCCTTTACTAGGTCGACCAGCTATTGAAAAGCTCAACCTTGTGAAAACAGTGGCTTCAGTACAGACAACTGTAGGTATTCAGGAAAAGTATCCGAAATTGTTTAGTGGACTTGGTAAGATTCAAGGCGACTACACTATCAAACTTCGCGACGATGCCACACCATTTGCTCTCACTTCGCCAAGGCGCGTAGCACTTCCACTTATGGACAAGGTCAAGGTTGAACTTGCCAGGATGGAGAGCTTAGGGGTTATCTCCCCTGTCGAGGAGCCAACGGATTGGTGCTCAGGTCTAGTAGTGGTACCTAAAAAGGATGGAACTGTCCGTATATGTGTTGATCTTACACAACTCAACAAATCGGTTCGCCGGGAACACCTGCAACTCCCAAGCGTAGAACAGACTTTACATCGATTGACAGGAGCTAAAGTCTTCTCTAAAATCGACGCAAACTCAGGATTCTACCCCTGGCAGATTCCACTAGAACAATCCTCAAGATTGTTGACAACCTTCATAACCCCATTTGGTCGGTACTGTTTCAACCGCCTACCCTTCGGCATATCATCGGCACCTGAACACTTTCAACGAAGGATGTGTAATCTACTAGATAATGTGCCTGGAGTTGTCTGTCAGATGGACGATGTATTGATATTTGGAACTTCCCAGAAGGAACATGATCTGCGTCTAGATACTGTGTTACAGAAAGTTGAGAAAGCGGGTATTACCTTAAATAGCGACAAGTGCGAGTTCTCCCAGAAAAGAGTCACTTTCGTCGGTCACGTCATAGATGAGGCAGGAATTCGCCCAGACCCTGCGAAGGTTAAAGCTATTGTGAACTTTGAAGCTCCTACAAATGTTACTGAGGTGAGAAGATTTATGGGAATGGTGAACCAGCTTGGAGGATTCTCACCAAACATAGCAGAGCATTCCAAACCAATCCGTGACTTACTACAGAAGGATAGCGCGTGGATGTGGGACAAACCTCAATCGCGGGCATTTGAGTTGATCAAACAGGACCTCAGCTCTACGCCAGTACTGTCATTGTATGATCCCATGGCAGTTACCAAGATTTCTGCGGATGCATCATCTTACGGTATAGGGGGCGTCATATTCCAACGTCATAAGGACAGTGGTGAGGACGACTGGAGGCCGGTCGGATACGCATCACGATCTATGAGCGCTACAGAACAGCGGTATGCACAGCTGGAGAAGGAAGCACTCGCTGTAACTTGGATGTGCGAGAAGTCGTCAGACTTGCTCACAGGAATACACTTCCATATTGAGACCGATCACAAGCCATTGGTTTCCCTACTAGGTTCCAAGGCAATCTCTGAGTTACCCCCAAGGATTCAGAGGTTTAGGATGCGCCTTATGCGATATGACTACAGCATCGCGCATGTGCCCGGTAAATTACTGTATACCGCGGACGCTCTGTCCAGAGCCCCTTTGGATCAGCGAGGATCTGAGGAGGAGGAGTTTCAAAACGAAGTTGAAGCTTATGTTGACGCTATTGTAGACGATCTGCCAGCAACAGAAGATCGCCTTAAGGAAATTCGTCTGAAACTACAAGAAGACAGTGTTTGTAAAATCATTATGAATTACTGTCAGGATGGATGGCCCGGATATGAACATCCTACGATCACCGTCTCCACTAGACCATACTGGCAGTTGAGGGAGGAACTTTCAGTGTGTCATGGTTTGCTTATGAGAGGAAGTAGACTTGTCATTCCTTCATCTATGAGAGCAGAAGTATTACAGAAACTACACGAGGGACACCAGGGCATTGTAAAGTGCCGTGAACGTGCCAAGAATTCTGTATGGTGGCCTGGTCTCAGCCGAGAGATCGAGGATATTGTTAAAACTTGTCCATCATGTCTTAAGCACAGGATAGAGAGACCAGAACCTCTCATGCCTACAGATTTCCCAGATCGTCCCTGGCAAAAATTGGGATCAGATCTTTTCTACTGGAAAGGAGTCAACTATCTACTGGTGATTGACTATTTCTCTAGGTACATAGAGATCGCTAAGCTGAGCTCCACAACATCAGAGGCGATAGTAACGCATCTCAAATCGATGTTCGCGCGACATGGAATACCAGAGACTATGTTCGCGCGACATGGAATACCAGAGACTATCATATCGGACAACGGTCCACAATACGCTAGTTCAACATTTCAGGACTTTGCGAAAGACTATGGATTCAATCACTCAACCAGTAGCCCTCATTACCCTCAAGGGAATGGGGAAGCTGAGAGAGGAGTTCAGACAATGAAACGTCTACTTAGTGGCTCTCAAGATCCGTATCTAGCATTGCTAGCATATCGTGCTACGCCGTTACGGAACGGTTACAGTCCTTCCGAACTACTAATGGGCCGGAAGCTCCGTACAACTCTTCCGGAGAGTCCAGCTAATCTCTCTCCTAAGTGGCCAGATCTTGAGTATGTTCGAGACAAGGAACGGATAGATCGAACATCCCAAAGACACCACTTTGATCGATCACATCGCACAGTTCAACGTCCGGAACTACACCCTGGAGAAACAGTGTGGGTGAAGGGACCCGGTGGAGGGTTCAGTGGAACGATCACTAAGTCAATGAATGATCGCTCATACTTCGTCAGTACACCGTCAGGTCAGATTCGTCGGAACAGGAGACAGCTGGTCCAAGCTCCAGCTATGAGGGCGGACAACCCGCACACCAGTGCCGGATGCGGAGACCTTCCCAGTGATGTGAAGGAACCAAATGCAGAGACTATGTATAATACCCCAGTAAAGGCTCCAAAGCCAGCTGGGTCTCCAAAGTCAAAGACTGTGTCAAATGCATCTGTTCATGTCAGTAATAGTTCAGAGATAGGTGTAGGTTCTAGAAGTGATAACGTGATCACTACTCGCTCAGGCAGAGTCTCGGTTGCTCCAAACCGGATGGACTTGTGAACTTTAGATGATTGACTGTGTTAATTCCTAGATTTTAATTTTTTGAGTAGGTAGCTCTTGAAATGTGTTCATTGCAAAGACTGGTCAAAAGATAACTTCGAGACGTTAATAATTTGAATAGCGTTATTGAGTTCATTACATTTAGTTAATGTTGTGAGATAATTCCATATTTCTCGTAGAATACCCAAAAAGGGGGATGTAGAGTTATGCGTAAATATGTACATGTACATGAAACAGACTATAGGTGGTACTTGTAAGCGCTATGCTGATACAGACTATAACCAGCCTCGTTTGGGGGTTCCAGAGAAAATGGCTTCGATGTAAACACGCCGCATTTTGTTAATACAGTTTACAAACGAAGATCCAAGTGTTTGTCAAGTGTCAACCCACATAACAGTCTTAGCAATAGAAATATCGAAAATATTTTCGTTCTTTATACTTTAATACTATATCCCTAACTTGCTTTTAACTTTGTTATTCCTTTTTGCTGGGTTCCTGGGCACATGGGAATACCAGGCAATGAAAAAGCAGATCGTGCCGCAAAGGAAGCTTTATCGCTACCACCTGTTGTTTTTAAACTTCATTTTACCGATTTTAAACCATTTATTAAACAAATTTTAAAAGCTTGGTGGCAGTAGCAATGGAATACATATTTTTTACAAAATTTACAAATTGCACTCCGTAAAACCTATTATCCGCCTTCGGATGGGCCATAGGATGCGATGAACCATTCATCGTTAAACATTCTTATTGGACAGCATTGACCTACTGTCTACTCGAAAATGATTTTATCGTAACATTACATGTCTAAAAACCCTTTTTGAAACTGTTGAGATTTGTAAAATTCTACATCACCTGAAAGATGTTGGTCTATATCATAGGCTATGACGTACCATTTTAATCTTTTGTGTTAACATACCCATTTAAGATTTTTAACGTTTGTCTTTTACCTTTTGGTTTCTTTAATGTAATTTCCTTTTGGATCGTTGTGTTTTACCGTTTGATGGCCCTAATGACCTTTTATGTGTTGACGGGCCGTTAAAAATGTCATAATGATAACAACGTTCATCAGTTCGACCAACGCTCAAATCAATCTGGAAGCCTTTCATCAAAAAGAACTGCAATTGATTGGGTTACCTTTATCACCATTCCTTCACACTGTCCACTGGAAACAAGATCGTGTCGTCCAAAGCGTTTAGTTGTACTACGTTGCGTGGAAATATTGAAAAACGTGGAGATTTATTATATGGTGTATGAAGCTAGTTATATGTAACTAGTATAAGTTACTAGTTACACATATAAGTTACATTACACGATCAAATTTACGGGATAACAACTCAATTATGTGATGAATTTTCATCTCAACTTTTCTTAGTTTTACATTTATTAATTCCATGTTTTATTCTGGATACTAAAACACAAGCAGATACATATAACCCTCTGAGAGATGGGCAAACTTCTAATCGGTGCCTTTGGTTCCAACTTGCTCATTTATAGGCCGACTGGAGGTAAAGCTATGTAGCCTTTGTTTTACATATACTTTGTCGTTTAAACATCACTCTAGTTTGCATGCACGTGCCATAAGAATACAAGTTCATCCACTAAATATATAATACAATATACGTTAAATACCAGTATATCGTGACATGTGTTTTTTCTTATGCAGAGATGTGTCAACCTGTGAAAAATCACATCTATATTTCTTGAAATACTTACTGAAAATAAATCGAAACAACTTGCAAGATGATCATGATTATTAAACAAAGACGAAGTTAATCTCGAAAATAAACCAGGATATTTAGATTGCAAGATTCTAACTGGAAATCGGACTTTTGGACAATATGACTTGAATACTTTAAGGTATTTTTCCTCGAATATCAGGATCTCTAACTAGGAACCGAGTCAGTGAAAATAAACCCAAAAACACATAATCTAGACATAGAATGCACGAATAACACATTTTATTTGAAAAAAGAACCGTTAAAAAGTTTCTTAAAGGCTTGGTTGGGCATGCAGCTTAGTCATACACATAGACTCTTGTTTACTCCGATTCGTATTTCTATGTATGAAATATGCATTAAATATATGTGACATGAGTAATATTTACCTTGAGCGATTCTGGCATTTCCATTAGCGTTGCTCTGTTCAGGCACTGCGGTAAAGGCTGTGACTATGGCGGAGTCGGTTGTATGGGTAGTGAGGTCAAAGTTTGTGATCACATTATTAGGCGTAATCCTAGTCGATCAATCAAAAATCATTGTCTTAACGAATGTCTTCCTCGAACATAATAGATATCAAACGTCCATATATCCCCCATATTTCCTAACACATTATAGATAACGATCCTCTTTATCTCCTCAACTGCTTTTAGGAATATGATATACCCGTGGTGTCCTATTGCATGTGGTAAAGGTCCACTAAAAGGGGCAACCTGTCTGCCGTGGGTTTCGTCCCGTTAGTACTGGGAGAAAGGATCCTGGTGGTTGAGGGGCGGTTATGTGGTTTACGTTTTATTCTCAAGCAATCTCACATGGCCTTCACCCAACACATCACTTTGGCCTCTATCTCTGTAAGACGGGTGATCATTGTGGTCTTCAATGATCAATCGGCTGGTCATGCCAAGCTCTGGGTCAAATATATGTCCTCAGTGTTTCCTTTTTATTTCACTCAACCGTATACCTGTCTATTTTTGTAGCTTTTATTTTACATTTGTATCTAAGATGGCAATGGCTAAAGGGTCAATCGAGAGAGTTCTATTCTTTCGAATATACTACCTGTTTATCCTTGGCACTCTATTACCGTTAGTAGTGTCCCATTTTAGTTTGATGTTATTTCCTTTTTGGATCGCTTTGTGTTTTACCAGTTGATGGCCATAATGACCTTTTATGTGTTGAGGGCCGTTAAGGTTGTAATAATAATGATGATAAACTCTTAGAGTATAATTTCAAGCATTTGTGTAAGTGTGTAATTATCTCTTTTAGAGTATAATCCAAATCATTTGTGTAATTATCTATCTTAAAGTATAATTTAAAGCATGTGTGGAATTATCTCTTTTAGAGCATTATTTTAATGGAGCGACGAAAGGTCGCGCCATTGCAATGCATTGTGTAATATACGTTGTGTCGGTCGGGAAGGAACGACTGAGACAAGATAAAGCAGAAGAGGAGAAAGATTAGTAAATAGTAATGACTAATAAATCCGGTCTTAATTTTTTATCCAATAATTATTCTTTTCTTTCACATTTCTTTTTGGTTCAAGATCTGTCATTGGAAATATATAAACAGAATCAATGTTGACTACTTACGTGATATAACCCACTCTATGCTGCCCTCCTATATCTAACTGACTCGCTATGGCGCTCCACACTCTGTTAATTTCTATCACCGCGTTAGCATTTACCCTCCTGCTGTCCTCGCTGGCAATAACCAAGTCAAATGGAGTGTTGACACATTCTGGAATGAAGGGATAGTAGTTTACAGGTTGACAAATTGCTTTTCTAGTCAGGATAATTGTTTCCCTTTAGTTTTGGTGACGCAATATCTATCTGCCGGATGGAACCTTGTCGATAGAATCCGCGCGGATCGCTTGTATCATACAGCTATTTTGTAAGTCAGATGTGATTAACCCATCTAAGCGAGGCTAAGAATAATATTCCATGAGTTTAACGTCCATTGTTAAAAGAACAGAATTAACTTTAATATTTTTTTTCGAAACATAAGGCAACTTGGATAAAAACATGGATGTATACATCAAAAATGTTCATCTGGTGCCCAGATGCTCAACGCTTTGTTAACGTATTGGCGTGGAACAACAAGAGCGTTAAAGACAGAATTCACAATTACAATGTTGCAATCAAGCCCGTCTCAACTAAAAAATTGTTCCCAATTTTATTTAATATTTGCAACTTCTTATAATCCATTGATTAATTTTAACCAGCATTTGAAAAAAAAAACGGACCGGAAATCTCATTCGTCACATTTTATTTTCAAGATTTAGCTTGTCACAAACGCAATGAGGTTTTTCAGATTTAACATGGTATCGACCATAAGATATGAAATACATTACACACTTACTTTTAACCACAGCGTCGTTGCCATGGATCAGGCCCAATAAGATCACCAGGACAGCGCACCACTAAAATATACAATTTGTGATATACCAAGCACATCGTAACAAACAATGAAACACATAACAGTTTAAAAATCACACACTATAAACAAAAATGAAATTAAATATTGAAACTGACAACTTATCATCAACTCGTGATTGAAGCTGGCTAGTGGCCTCATTCCTAGGGGGACTTTTGTCAGTCTTCACTCAAACATAAGCAACTGTAATAACTTTAAAGAGCTCATGTTTGAAGTTTGTAGGTTAAAGTCAATGTCGCTGTAGGTAGATTGTACATGTTTACCAAATGATCTAGTAGCTTCCTCCAATGAGGGATTTTGCTTAATATCGACACATATCACTGAACACAATACCTTAATTGGAGTTTCAGGGCTGAAAAATTAACGGCAATTTCATCGATAGTAGATATAAAGGTTTTCTCTAAAGAGGAATTAGGATTAAACTTAACGTAATTGGCTATCTCTCAATGTGATTCATTAAAAGTTTAACCGGGGTATGTTTATATAACTATCTGAACAAAGCATACTTCAATGCATATTTTCGAAACAATTCCTAGACAACTGAAAATGATAATGAAATACTGAACCATAGAATCAAATACTGAAGTAGACATTGAGTAATAGAACCATGTCACAAACTACTGAAATATATAATGAAAAATGTGATACTGAAACAGGTTACAATCTACTGGAAAAAATGAAATACTGACATAGACAGGGTGTTACGGAACAGGCAACAATCTATTGAAAAAAAATGAAATACTGAAATAGACATTGTGCCACAATTTACTTAATCAAAACAATAAAATACTGAAATAGACAGTGTGTCACAATTTACTTAATGCAATGAAATACTGAAATAGTTTGCCACAATTTACTTCAACAAAACAATAAAATACTAAACTATACAGTTTGCCACAATTTACTTAAACAAAACAATAAAATACTAAAATATACAGTTTGCCACAATTTACTTAATGCAATAAAATACTGAAATAGACATTGTGCCACAATTTACTTAATCAAAACAATAAAATACTGAAATAGACAGTGTGTCACAATTTACTTAATGCAATGAAATACTGAAATAGTTTGCCACAATTTACTTCAACAAAACAATAAAATACTAAACTATACAGTTTGCCACAATTTACTTAAACAAAACAATAAAATACTAAAATATACAGTTTGCCACAATTTACTTAATGCAATAAAATACTGAAATAGACAGTTTGCTACAATTTACTTAAACAAAACAATAAAATACTAAAATATACAGTTTGCCACAAAACAATAAAATACTAAAATATACAGTTTGCCACAATTTACTTAATGCAATAAAATACTAAAATAGACAGTTTGCCACAATTTACTTAAACAAAACAATAAAATACTAAAATATACAGTTTGCCACAATTTACTTAATGCAATAAAATACTGAAATAGACAGTTTGCCACAATTTACTTAAACAAAACAATAAAATACTAAAATATACAGTTTGCCACAATTTACTTAAACAAAACAATAAAATACTAAACTATACAGTTTGCCACAATTTACTTAAACAAAACAATAAAATACTAAAATAGACAGTTTGCCACAATTCACTTAAACAAAACAATAAAATACTAAACTATACAGTTTGCCACAATTTACTTAAACAAAACAATAAAATACTAAAATAAACAGTTTGCCACAATTTACTTAATGCAATAAAATACTAAAATAGACAATGTGTTTATAAAAAGGAAACAATCTACTTAAAAAAACTTCAATATACTGAAATAGTATGTTACTGAAACAGGCCACAAATTACTGAAAAATAAAATTAGATATTAAAATAGACAGTGTGCTACTGAAATAGGCAACAATCGAACAATACACAGAATAACACACTGAATTAGTGAGTCACTGAAGTAGATAAAAATACAACTTAAACATAGAATTAGATATGAAATTCTCTGTTCGTTGCTAAAAAATCCCGAGACACAGACTACAGAAACATAGAATTTAATACCGGCTCTTGTTAGTTTAAATGGACTGAATACATAAATGATACAATCTGAGGACCTGATTAGACAAGAGCTCGTAAAACCGTAGATCACGATGAGATAAGTTCATGAAGGAATGCCCGTCAAAGATTAAAGAAAGACTAGGTGCCATAGAAATGGATACTTTCAGAGGGGTTGTAGCTCTGGAAGGTCGAGGGAGAGGCAATTCTCGTTAATAAAATCGGTGAATAAATGACCTATATGCCCTCAAATATTGAGGAGTGTATTGACGTCATAAATGGCCTGATATCTCAGGAATGGCTACCACCAAATTAATGTCAGTGAAATGATGAGGTCAAAGGCTAACTGAACATTGATCTGTGAACACGCACTCACAACAAATAAATTCTTTCTATTCTAAGAGAAAGTCCGTTTCTACCAAAATGATATACTGAAATTGTTCTGTCACTGCACGTCCCTATAAGGTCAAAGGTATAAATTTTGACTAAGGAGATCGGCTAGCGGATGCATTTGATGCCCTGAAGCAGTCCTTTTACAAATCCGTAAGGGAGAAAAAAACGGTGGCTTTGCTGGGAAAAAACATGGGGAAATGCCTGGCAATGAGGATGTTCTGCCGAACATTCCTGGAACTCCTTTATGTTGAAGATGATTGTTCTGCAGCAAATTTCAGACAGCCGGATGTTGTGCCTGTGTTTGGTTGGTCTACGGAGGAAGTTGTTGTCGAGGATCGCATTCAAGAATTGCAGAATGATTATGTACAATGATAATGTTCCTAAAATTCGAAAAAAAATTACTTTGAACGCCAAAACCGGCAATTGGGGGACGGTTGAGGTTGATCATACTAGTAACCATGTCTTTGCGGAGATACCCAGGAGTCAGTGTGACTCTAGTGACTCCCGACTCATTTTTCGATGAGAAAGGAGGCCATACAAACGTGTTTCAGGGCAATGTTCTCACTTCTAAAGTGCGAAAAGAAAAAAGACATAAAATATCTACGGACGAGTCAATATTTGTCCGGAAATGACATTCGATGCAGCTGCGGAAAACAGCAGGAAAACAATGAGAGCATTCCTTAAGAACTACTTCAGTGTAAGAATACAATAGGATACCGACAGCCCTTTTCCAACCAATGATGCTTAAAACCAGTGTATACAACCGAAAAGGCTGAGGCTTACTAAATCCACCACAATGAAAGTGAAAGTATGTAAGTGTCTTGGAGTAACACAGAGCCACACCATACCACTCTTCTCCGAACGTTTACGTTAGGTAATTGTGCCGAACACTGCCTTAGATGATCGGGTAGGCACATTGAGACAAAAACATTACCCTTCTCTACACCACACCCTGCGACATGGTTTACAACGGCTGACGCAAAGTAGAAAGATATATGCTTCTTTTGAACTGATGTACCTGAACACCCTACGAAAAGTTGATAATTATAGACCCGGACACCTTACATAACGCTGATAATTAGAGACCTGGACATCTTAAGTAACACTGATCAGTAGCGACCTGAACACCTTATGTAACGATGATAATTAGAGACATGAACACTTTACGTAACTCTGATAATTAGAGACATGAACACTTTACATAACGCTGATAATTAGGAGACTTGAACATTTTACATAACGCTAATAAGTAGAGACCTGAACACCTTACGTAACGCTAATAATTAGAGACATGAACACCATACATAACACTGATAAGTAGAGACCTGGACATCTCACGTAACGCTGATGAGTAGAGACATGAACACTTTACATAACGCATGATAGTTGGAGACCTGAACATTTTACATAACGCTAATAATTAGAGACCTGAACACCTTACCTAACGCTAATAATTAGAGACCTGAACACCTTACCTAACGCTAATAATTAGAGACCTGAACACCTTACCTAACGCTGATAATTAGAGACCTGAACACTTTACATAACGCTGATAATTAGAGACCTGAACACTTTACATAACGCTGGTAAATAGAGACCTGAACACCTTACGTATCGCTGATAACCCTTTACCTACCTTGATCGGTTGTTAGCCGAAATGTGCCTTACTGTGCAGAAGGCAAAGTAATCTATGGAGGTTTCCAAGACCCAGCAGAAAAGATCAACCTTTAACTCGAGAAAGCGAGTATGACATTGAGGACCTCGTGAATGGAAATAAGAAATCGATGAGAGTTTGACAGTCCCCAATACCCCAGTTTGGAAGATCTCTCTTTTTAGCATCAGGAAAGTCCATGAGGTCAGTGCTCGAGAAAGTAACCTTTCTTCACCATGAACGTTTGATTAATTTTTCTATTCTGAGATTCTGAATTGCCAAACGTTTTACAAACCTACATAGCCCGTGCACGACATAGTCGTTTGTAGGTTTTGACAGACGTACTCCGAAGACCAGTTCCGGATATTATCATCAGTTTAATAAAGGGACATCTATCCTGACAAGGATTTTTATACACTGAAAATCACGTGATACTACATGCAACAAAACAGTAATACCATAACTTTTCCCGACATTTCAACGATCACTTTCAAGGTACTCAGGTACTCTTTGTCATCAACGACATGTTTGCTCGAATCTATGATATAAGCATTACTCATAAATTATCGATCGTGCTCAGTTTGGCACTCATCCCATGGTTTAAACAATGGCCAACAAAATAGTTCGGAATAAAATCTAACAGCTTCAACCTGTATGTGGCACAATCCTCGAGCGATGACGAGCATGATCTTTGCAATGAGGCACGAGCCTCTGGTAATGACAGGTATGCTCTTCGCGATGTGGTACAAGCCTCGGGCGATGACGAGTATGCTCTTCGCGATGTGGCACAATCCTCGAGCGATGACGTGTCATGCTCTTCGTTATGTGGTACAAGCCTCGGGCGATGACGAGTATGCTCTTCGCGATGTGGTACAATCCTCGAGCGATGACGAACATGCTCTTTGTTATGTGGTACAAGCCTCGGGCGATGACGAGTATGCTCTTCGCGAACATGCTCTTTGTTATGTGGTACAAGCCTCGGGCGATGACGAGTATGCTCTTCGCGATGTGGTACAAGCCTCGGGCGATGACGAGTATGCTCTTCGCGATGTGGTACAATCCTCGAGCGATGACGAACATGCTCTTTGTTATGTGGTACAAGCCTCGGGCGATGACGAGTATGCTCTTCGCGATGTGGTACAAGCCTCGGGCGATGACGAGTATGCTCTTCGCGATGTGGTACAATCCTCGAGCGATGACGAACATGCTCTTTGTTATGTGGTACAAGCCTCGGGCGATGACGAGTATGCTCTTCGCGATGTGGTACAAGCCTCGGGCGATGACGAGTATGCTCTTCGCGATGTGGTACAAGCCTCGGGCGATGACGAGTATGCTCTTCGCGATGTGGTACAAGCCTCGGGCGATGACGAGTATGCTCTTCGCGATGTGGTACAAGCCTCGGGCGATAACGAGTATGCTCTTCGTTATGTGGTACAAGCCTCGGGCGATGACGAGTATGCTCTTCGCGATGTGGTACAAGCCTCGGGCGATGACGAGTATGCTCTTTACTATGTGGTACAAGCCTCGAGCGATGACGAACATGCTCTTTGCAATGTGGCACAAGCCTCGGGCAATGACGAGCATGCTCAAAGTTATATTTGGAAGAATTTTACAAACAAGTGAATAAGACCCTTCAAAACATATTTAGAATTACACGCTGATATAAATGATAAAAGCGAAACGTGTTCTTTTACCGAAATCTGATTCGTCATATGAAACATCGTTTAAATACCGAACTATTAATTCTGGTTTTAAAAGTATTACTATAAATAATGACACCAACATATTTCTGTGCTGTAATAGTCCGAACCCTGAGGACTACACTATGTGACACGGGATTTTAGTGGCTATGAAACACAAATAATAACCACAAGGAGGAGGAAAACAGAAGAATGCTGCTGGATCTTGAGGTATTGTATATGTGAGAATTTTACCATCATTTATCTTAGTAGATAGGTCTTATTTCACCTCTGTTTCATCTATTCTATGTGAAAAAAAAGACAAAGATTCAAATGCCGGACCATGCACAGGATGCTAAATGCTTATAGTGATAAGTCTCTTTTTATATATACTTCCTGAACAAATCAGAGATTAAATGGGTATTCCGCACAAGTTCGGATTTCATAAGATGCTTTTGAAGAAAATTATACAAAATGATCTGCTTATGTATTTATGGAAATTGTCCACCTCAATTTACAGTTTAAATAGGTATATGGCACTTAATTTACGGAAATTCTTTTTTAGATCTAACTTGATTGATTTACAAACGTTTGCGTGGCCCTGATTGTGACATAACAGATTTGTTTTGATGTTAGTCAAAAGGATCAACAGAAGAAAAGCCAAATGAAGTAAAACAAAAAATTGCAACCCCACCAGAAATTTTAGTGAACAGGAGACAAACTCGTGTATTTACCGAATCCTCTACATAAGTATATGATCCAGTGATCAATCAGTTCCAGATTTACTGATAATCTAAATTTAGACCGTTAAATTTAATTGGCTGGAACTGTTTCTTCTAACTTCGCCTGTCCAAACTGACCAAAGGAGAGGTATTAGATGCTTACAATAGTGTTAATTTATGCAATACAATGAAACAGATGTTGTTTTAAAATACAAACACATACCTTTAGCATTGTCATCCTCCGATAACTGACGGTCGATTGGAAAGTCATGTGCATATCACGAGATGTTACCTACGGGCACTTGCTATAAATCATCGAAGTCCCGCCTTTTCTTAATGCCCAGTACCCAAATCGCGTGGAAGGTCATGCGCCGTGAGCGGATAGTATACAGTAGACCTTCCCAACACATCAATGGTAAAGTAATTCATCAAATCATGCTATATATACATGTATATCTACCCAATGAGATAAATTTAAGTCCCTCTGGCTTTGTAAATTTACATAAAATATAGGTGCTGCAAACCTGCATGGCAGTTATCTTATTTTAGGGTCTTTTCGTGTTGAAATTATCGTGTTAAAATATGGCTATCGCTTCTGTATGTTATTTATAAATAGCAATGTGGTTTGATATTTTAATGCGAGACTGTTGTAAACAGCGTTATAAAAACACAGGACGCCATCTTGCAAAAAAAACGTTCTTTTATTCTTGTCATTAGTGTTAATTCCTGTGAACACAGCCTTAATACAAACAGAAAAAATTTCGACTGGAAGCAAAAAGAGAAAATTCTAACAGAATCAAAAATCCACGAATTTATGAGTCCACGAAACTGTCTAATTTGTAGAAACAACGAAAATTGAACCCAACGAAAATAAATGAATCCACAGTATCCATGACGCACTAATTAGGCATTGCACTGGTCAAATAGTGACGATATGCTAAACTTTAATTGGGCTAATGCGGTTAACGGTATCACAACCCTGAGAACCAATACATTAGGGTTACAATTGATGGTGTAGTATAATGTAATCGGGAAGGATGTCCTGCTAGGAGCTTGCAAAACTGTCGATAGACCTCACATTATTACTAGGAGATAAACTCGCACGCTACTGCACTCACTTCGCTGTCATTTAATGATCTTAGATATTACATTAACACTAAATCACAAAACAGAACCTGACGAAGTCTACCCACGTATTTCAGAGTGGAGTTGACTATCAAGAAGACAAATAGTACACTAGAATAGCTTGCAACCGTCCTCAACAAAGACCTTATTTATATATCATAAATAGAGTAGAGACAAAGAGTAAATCATAACGTACTTAACAGCCATTGGCGTCGTTCTAGGACTCGTCAGTGATGCTACATCATACAGTTGTTTCGTCCTTCTAGGACTCGTCAGTGATGCT